AGCCAAAAAACGCCGATTACTATGTAATACAAGCTACACACAGTGAATCTAAGGATACAAATGGGTTTCAACAAGCTGAAGATATGTTCAAAAAGGCAATCCATCTAATGAAGAGACTTCACGTGCGCATAGACCGTATCAAGAAAGTAGAAGAAAAGTTGCAAGAAGCAAAAAGCCAAGTCCAGAAATAAAAAAGACTATAATTCGTACAAAACTGACTTGGATGAGGATGAACGTGTAAATCATAGGACTTACAACCTCAATCTTCACCCGCACTCATATTCTAGAAATTCTGTCCTTGAATAAAACGCTTAAGCTGTAACATTTGATGAAAATGTCTAGTTAATCATGCGAAAGAGAGGGTACACATGCATTAGTTTTAACTTGAAAAAATGGCCGTAATCTCATGCGAATGTTATTCATTCAAGTTATAGTCCAGACATTTCACAAAACTGGACATGAGAATAACTACGGTGCACCATTAGTAAATAGTAAAGGTAATGCAAAATAATTATTTTAGGTATCGTGCGTTTTGGTATTGGATTTACCATTTGGACTCTATCGTTCATACGCTAGTGTAACAGTCGATGTATCTAAAAGTCAATATCGTGTGGCTATTGAAAATTTTATATACTCTTTGATCGTTCTCTTAGTACATTTTACTCATTCAACGTCTTTCTACATCTATACATTGACCGGTACGCTTTATCGTGCAACGTTCAATCGTCTTAAACGTCGTTATTTCAATTTCGATTTCGATTGAATACAAACAAAATTCTTCGTTTACTTTCTCTGTTCATCTCTATTTTCAGACTTTGCTTTAAATTGATCAATTCTGAAAATAGCTCACGGCAGCCAATAAATAAACATAGAAAGTTTATTTTTGACGTCCTTGTCGATCTTGTTTACGATTATAATGTGCGCACAAAACTAGCTGTTTGTCCGCTTTAACTGACATACATAAATAAAATGTATTTTTCACACAGGAAGACATAACTATCCGACATGTTTATTTTACGCTTCTCTTTGATCCAGCAGATCTAATCGAAGACACTATCATTCATGACATACATTGCAATGATTGGATGATTATTGAAACTAACATACATAATCATACTTGTACCCACATACTCACTCTCGTCGACACCAATGTGTTCAGAGTTCTAATAATTTTTTTCATTCAAGGCCATTGTGTTGAGAAATTCTTTCTCGTCCGTTGAGTTATTTTCTTCCATCAAAACTGAAGAAAAGAAGAAAAAACCTTGAGAATATAGTGAGAGTCTGAACGCTTTAATTTTCTTGTCTCTATACTCGTATTGTCATTTGTCGTTCGCTTTCTGTAAAGAAAAACACATATGAATGTAATAAGAGGGGTGTAGAATGGTGAGCTTCATGTTTGCAACCTTGATAGATTGTTATAAATAATTTCAAAATTATAAAGTTTATGATGAAACGATGTGACGACAGCGGTGAATAAACAAGTTTTTTTTAGAACTTCAGATGCAATTTGATTGAAAATTTTACTCCCTTACATTGGAAAAAAACCCTCTCAATAGCGGCATCAAAACATTCTTGCCAATAGCTGTTGTCTTTTGTCATTCTTGTGTGAGTTATTTTGATTGTCGTTGGAAAAACGTAGTTTAATACTTCATACGCACTTGGTAAAACAGTGCTCGAATGTCCTACCGGAATCCTACTACATCAAAACAATCGACCACTCGTTCGAATAGTCATTTTCCTGCAAAACGGCAATATGAAGGCGTATCAGCGCCAAGAGACTCGAGCACAGTTGATACACCTATTACACTTATACAGGCAAACAGGCGTTTCAAAGATGGCATTAACAAAAAAGAAGTTATTCCCCCTATTCCACCGAGCAGAACAAATTTGGACAATAATTACGATGATATCAATGGGAATACGGCATATCTTGACACTGCAGATGAAGATAGTTTGCCACTTAAACTATTTGACGGTAAAAAACAATCACTCAGTGAATTAAGCGAAGAATTCATGTCATATTTATGGTTCAGGNTATTCCTATCTCGACATCTCTTAGGACTTTACTAACCGGGTGGATTTCGCGTGCCGAGAATATTGAGTATGGTAGTAGTATTCGGCTCAGCTAACATGTTACTCGTTTGGCCTAATATATCAGAGAGTAATTCACAGGCAGAAGTGTCTTGACGAAAACTACCAGCTCGACAGTGTTCTTCACTTAGACATGCCATTTGACATTTCCGAATATTCGACGTAGCGATAGTTTCGAAAGGTAAACAGGTTGTTGTCGCACATTGAAATCGATGACCAGTTATTATCTTCATCTGAACTGATCGCATGTCTTCTTGCTCGCTTGACTGCACTATCAGCATTGACAGAAGCAAGAGAGATATTCTTTGCCATGGCATCGCGAACGACGTTCTGACTTAATAAAAGAAACTGCAGTTACACTGAATGAAGAGTGTAGTCGGAATGGTGGAAAAAATTCTTCTCTTCTTTAATTTAGAAAAGACGTGCATAGCGTTGGCTTTTTCTCTTTCTTGTAAAGAAAAGTTTCGGAAACATGAATGGTTTGTTTGGGCGATCGCTGCTCACTGGTTGGTCGAATGGTGATACAGTAACGGAAGATCTTGTGAAAATATTGAATCTGTGTGTTATTCGCTTAAACCCGTGTAGGGGAGTCATGTGGACCAACAGAAATCGAGTTTTTGAGAAAAAAACATTTTTGAAGATATTTATATGTTTGCTTTGGCAGTAAGGAGTGAAGCAGATATTTCTTGTCTTCCTGCTTATGTGAGGATCCAGATTTCGCTGATTAGTCAAAGACGTGGCTCAGAGGAAACTGTTGTTAGAATCTAAAAAACGACTCGATTTGTGTAATGTGATGATTCTCCATCAAGTATATTTTGATAATGATGACAAGGAGAAAAAAAAAATTTTTTCAGTTGTTTTCTCAGTGAATGTGAAAGAGTTTGTGCTTCTTCAAGAAAGAGCTCGGCGTGTGTCCAAACGAGCGTTACTTGTTTTTTAATAATAATAAAAAGCTTTTAAAAAAACAACTGTTGCTCATCGGCTGATTGCATGCTCATGACAAGAAATCACGCATTCGAAAGCATTGTATCATAGACAATTTCTACAATGGAGAATTCAAAAGGAACTCAGACCAGAAAGGTACAAAATTTGCTTTGATAGAAGGGTGCGAGGATATCATTCCTCACACTTTTAAGATGCTCTTCTAAGCGTCGATCTGTCGTACACACTCGTATTGATTTGTTTACTTCAAATCAATAAATCGCTGGGAGTTTATTTAATACGAAATATTAAACGAAGAACAAATTTGGTCATCACAAAAGTAGCACAAAATAGTTATTCTTTGTCAAAAGAAAAACAACAGATAGTTGACTTGTTTCAGCACTATTGAATGAGTATAACTGATGTCATATTAAGCATAATTTCCAGTATAATTCTCATTCTCATCGATCAAAGATCGTCATGACTTTCTTCATCCATTGAAACTTTTTGTGCTCACATTCAAATATTATGAGTTTGTGACCAAAGGGAATATTTATTTACATCGATCATGAAAAGAAAGAACAGTATCTATATATATAAAGAAGAAAGTTTGTCTGTCTGTCTGTCTGTCTGTTTGTTCGCTATGCATTCAGTCCCTGTAGTAGCTATCGGCGTGAAACTTTCCACAAAGCTTCCTGAGACCCAGAGAAAGGTCGACATCTACTTTTCCCCGAGAACAAAGGAACCAGCCGTTTGCTGCAGGCAATATATGAAACGGACCAATAGGAATGCGACATTTCCAAAATTGAGAAAATTAATAGCGAAGGCTG